TTTCTGTTATGTTTAATTTTTGATTTTTTTCACACTTTTCTTGTTATAGTATAACAGAGAAATAAAGTCCAGACTGACTTTTTAAACTTATTAGAGGCTCACAAGCCAAAAAGGTTGGGAATTCACTGTGGTTAAGGTGAGACGATGTTACGCAGTCCTAAGAGGTTGATATGGATTGCACATGGATTTGACCTTGCAATTTGTTCCAAATCATGCAAATCTTTTGCTGCCATTTCACCATCATTAAGTTTCCACCAGGCCATAGCAGGATTAGAATAATGGGTGAGGTTTGTGATTCAACCGTTGCTACGGAGGTGTTGGGGCATGACGTCTCGATCGTGCTTGGATGTTGAGAAAAACCAGGTGTTGGCTGATCTTAGTCAGTGTTGTGTGTATGTTACAGCATTACATCACAGATACTAAACTAACCTAATTCCCACTGACAAGTTTTAGAGAATATTGAATTTATACAAAATTTGATTTTTCCTTTTGTCGAGTAACTTCCATGCAATAAAAAGCCTTTTTTTATTTTTAAAACTGGGCAGGGGAAATCAGCATGTTACCCACAATAATCCCCTGCAAAATCTGTAAGGGACTGAAGTAAATTAGAACAACAAATAAAATGTATTGATAATAATGTGATTATGGATCTCTCTCCTCAACATAGCAATTTGTCTGTGTAGATTTGTAGTATTTTTGAATACACTCCCAGCAAGAGGGTACGGCTCAGAGCAGGCATTGATTGTGTTACATTCAACCCCTGGAAGAGCTTTGTGTTCTAAAACTTCTGTCAATGGCAGGAAAAATAAACACAGCAGACGCTGAGCAATCTGGGAGTCTTCTTACACAGGGTTAAGAGTGTACTTTCCACATCAGGCTCAGGAAACTCTGCAACAACTGGATGTTACAAAACTGACCCAAGGTAGCACCAGGAATTATAGAAGATTTCAATTTCCTCATTTCCATTTGTCACACTACTTCATGTTTATGTTTGAGCGTAATCTGGTACCCGCTCTCAACACCGCAGACGGTCATACAGTTTACATGTGTGCGGTCGTGGGTTTTCAGGAACAAAATCTGAGCGAACCGGTGCGTCAGGCAAAGATGTTGACAGTTCAGGAGGAAGGTGAATTCGTGGATACTGCGATATCCACCAGACTCAGGCAAAACTGTCTTCATCTGACTCTTCTGAGTTTGGTGGATGTGCTTATAAGAAATCAGATTTTAACATATTTAAGAAATTTAAATAATCCAAATGGTGTTGAAAATGCGAAGAAAGAGAAAAACAAATAAAAAGAAAAAAAAAAAAAAAAAAAGAAAAAAAGTGCTCCCCTCCAGTGGAAAAAAAGGATAAGAAAAGAAATAAAATAGTACCGAGTTGTATGTTATTTCATCCCAAACAACATGCTCCGCAAAAAGTTGAGCAACGCCGCCGGCCGCGGGGCGGGAGATTCTTGCGGCCCTTAGGTCTCAATTGCTCTCGCGCGCAGTGAGGGCTGGCACTACCTTGTATGCAGCAAAGGATTATTTTGGTTAAAAATGAATACTCCACTTGTAGCTCTTCATGTAACAATCCTCACTGTTGCTCCTTCCTTCTTCCAAATACTTCTGACATTTTCCAGGCAGCTAGAGCTTTCCACTTAAGTCAGGGAAAAAGGTGGTCAAAAAGATGGAACATTTGTCTTGTTTTGTAGCATGCACTTTTTGTTGAACGATGGCCTGTAGTGTCGAGCTGTTTGCTAAACTGAACTCATAAACACTATTGGCGATCATTCCTGTCAGTTCGTATTTACTCGTTATCATACATACAAAACTGGTCACGCCCCGGCCAGTCTGAAATGCCCCTCTTCCCTCTTAACACTGTTAAGGCTTTGTGCTTATCTCCTAGTCTTGGTGATCAGCGCCATTGTTCAATGAGAAATATTCAGGTGTAACTGTTCCAGCCCTTTCTTTGTGCTTTTGTTTCAATCGTCTGGTGTTTTGGCTGCCACTTATAGAAAGAATGCCTTAGAGTCCTGACAGCGGGCTGAATGCTTTTCGTAACAGGTTTATACACTCATAATCGAAGTGAAGGACAAGTAATGAAATATATTCCAGATTTTAGCTGGGTAGCAGAATTGAGGCTGTTTGCTTCTCCGCGCGCGGTCCCGGGCTCTCTAGTGAGTCTGTTTGTCCTCTTTGGTCAGACTTGCAT